TTGAGTCTAGGGACTGTCTTTTGCCTTTTTCCGTCCCCAGCACTTAGGCCAGTGCCTGGCACAAAAAGCCTTTGTTTCATCCCCTCTGTGATGGTCTGCAAAAGATTTAAAAATAAAAGACTAACAGCTGCAGAGTGAATTGGCCCAGGACCCTTTCCAGCTGAACTCTATCAAAAATATTAAAAGAATGAGATGAATGATATTGAAAAAGTCAAGAAGAATGAACGAATAGTAATGCTAATAATTGTCATTTATATATATATATACCTTTGCAAAGTACTTTACCAGCACTGCCATATATGAGCCTCATGGCAGCCCTGTGAGGCATTTTAAAAATGAGCAGCCTAAGGTTCAAAGTTTAGAGACTTTTCTGCAGTTATTCAACTCACAAGTGTCGCAGGGCAGCCAGGTGGCGCCATAGTGCATAGAGCCCGGGGCTTGGGCTCAGGGAGTTCAAATCCAGTCTCAGACACTTTCTATCTGCGTGACCCTAGACAAGTCATTTCACCCTGTTTGCCTCAAGCTTCTCATCTGTCAAAGAAGCTGGAGGAGGAAATGGCAAACCACTCTAGTATCTTTGCCACAAAAGTCCAAACAGGGTCATGAAGAGCGAAACACAGCTGAAAAACAACTGAACAATGTGTCACAGGTGGGATTTGAAACCCAGAGTCTCCAAAGTCCGAATCCAAATCCGGCTCTCCCCCTACCACACACGCCTCACTGCTACTGTTTGCAAATGAAGGGGTTAGTCTACACCAGCGTGGGGTCCTAGAACGTGAGCTAGAACCGACCTCCAAGGTCAGGAAGGCCAGCCCTCTCACGCCCATTTTACCCCAGAGAAGTTAGTGACTTGCCCATGTCACACAGAGAGTGAGCATAAGAGCTGAGATTTGAACTCAGGTCCTTGGGCTCCACGAGGCAATATTCTTTCCATGGCTCATACTTGTGGCTGCACTCTAAGGTCTCTTCCAGCTCTCAGGACATGATCCTATGACCTTAATTAAAAGAAAAAGAGTAAAATAAAGACAGTGGAGGCGACCACATTCTGGAGAGTATGAAATGCCCTACAAATGATGTCCCTGGCCTAGGGGGCTGCCATCTCCCAAAAGTCACAACCTTTTAGAGCTTTCTTAGGACGACTGCGTTTGGGTGGGTTTTTTGTTTGTTTTACAAAAAGGCAGCCCAGCATGTGTGGCCTAGGGAGCTGCCTTTCAATTAAGAATGAATCAACAGGAAGGAAGGAAACAGGCCTTTATTAAGTTCTCACTATGTACCAGTAAATTTCAGATAATTGGGTGGAAGTGTATTAAAAACATTTCCATTTTTCAAGCTTCAATAGAAATGCTTTAGTGTTCTTGAATAAAAATAACTTAAAATACTCATTGTCTTTTAAGATAAAATGGCTTGTTAGCTCTTCAACGCTGAAAATGGATCATGCAGCTCAAATACCTCTGTGATCACTTTAAACGAAGTTCACTAATAACATTATTTTTAAATAACTATTTTGAATGTAAAAGATGCTCTCATTGAAAAACAGGGTCAAGACACACCCTCATCTCCTAGAGTTGGGTGTGCCCCGAGGCCTTCCTGGGAACACAATAAGAGGCTGTCAGACAGCATTTTAAAGTAAACTATCAAAGTTTCCCAGCCCCATATTCCCAGAACCTTAAAGTGCTCCAGAAGGGGAGGGAATCTTTACTGCTCCAGGGCAGGTCACGTTGGCTCCCAGCCATACATCATGAAGCCTTACCAAGTTCCTTGAAATCATGGGACCAAACAGAGCAAAGATTTGCTGAAAAGAAGAAGAAAAAAGTTGACCTGAGCATAATAATGTTGAAAGTTTTATTATCTAGTGACAGTCAACTAGGGAGCACCATAGAGCATAGAGCACTGGGCCTGGAGTCAAAGTCCTGAGTTCAATCAAGACTCATACATTTACTAGCTATATGACATTCTCTCCCTCTAATGGAAACCAGAAGAAATAAGGATGTTGTAGCTCAGTAAAAGGATTCTCCTTGGAGAGAAAGAAGCCACTGGTAATTCCTGTTTCAAGTGGAGCCAAGGACAAGAGAAACATAATTTGATGGGACGTTGGGACTACAGTAGACTTTTCAAGGCTCATGAAAGATAGAAGCCAACACCACCACCGTGACGATAATTGTGACTTTTGTGCCAAAATGCATTGAGAAGAATGAAGAGGCCGAGGAATCCTACGAAGAGCATTTCAAAGTTTGTCAAACTATGTCAACATGTAATTTGATTTTTAAAGACTCCAATGCAAAGGTGGCCGTAAGGGAAAATAGCAGAACATTTGTCAGATACGGTTGAGAATCAGGGGATGACAGAGTCCAAAGGCTCACCAACCACTCAGAAGTCTCCTGCCTGTGCTTCATGAAAGTATCCTTCCAGAAGAGGGTTTGAAGGTAGTAGACATGGCAAGCATTATACAACATGCCGACAAAAAAATGAGAATCATTGTGTCTTAGACAAAAAAGTGAGAACTTACTGAGGCGGACTCATTTGAGAATCAACTCTAAACTTAAAAATAAACCAAAGATGAAAAGACAATTCTGCATGTGATTAGAGCAGCTCCCGCCTGACCATCCAAACAAGCCAAACATGGGAAGAGAATCAGAGAAATGGCATTGATTCTGATCATTTCCATTTCCTAGAGAAGTTAAATTGAAGTAAGGCAATTGTCACAATGAAAAGACTGAAAGCCAGAACGGCAGCTAAGTGTCAAAAGAAATAAAGCACTAGGTCTGAAATCAGAAAGATCTGAGTTCAAACTGTGCCTTAGACATTTAATAGCTATGTGATCTGGAGCAAGCCACTAAATTTTTTTTTATCCTCAATTTTCCTTCTCAGTAAAATGGGGACAATAATAGCACCTGTTTCATAGGGTTGTTACGAGTGTCAAATGAGATAACTTATGTAACCTTAAAGTACAACATGAATGCTAATTGGGGTTGTTGCTGTTACTGTTAAAAGAACAACATTTAAAAAAAATAAAAGCTGCCTTAATCATCAAACACTTATGTCTTTGCCTAGCAGAGAGTCAGAAAGCTACAGACAATGCCAGTGAGGTTATAGATTCATTCCCAAATTGTCACAGAGGAGAACGGTGTCCCCTTACAGGGGATCAAAGAGCAGGGACTTTTGGAAGCAGGAACCAGAAGAAAGCCTGGCACGAGCTCCACCTAAGTCAGATCAGCCGAGAGCAGGAACGAATGAACCGAGGGGAAAGAGGAAAAGTAGATCTTTAAAAAAAGGAATAAATTTACTGCCATTTTCAGAAAAACCTGCTTTTTCTCATTGAATGCTATGGAACCACCATGTTTGAAATCCTAACACGTAAATTCCTGATATGTCACATAAGGAAGTAAGAAACGCAAGCAGGACAGTGAAGTCGAGATGAGTAGCCAGACCACATCAAGCGTATGCAGAAAATAGCTGGACTGGAGAGCTTGGAAAACACCGAAGGATGCATGCCCAAGATGTATGAAACAGCGGCAGACACCTGAATACATAAAGAAATAAAACATGGTGGACACGATTATTACAAAAAAATCAAGGCAGTCAAGAAGATATCAGTAAACTTTTAACCAGTATGCTCACTTTCTCATCCCTGTGTCTTTATGAGAATTATCTATATGTATATTGAGGGTATCCCTGATGAAAATACAAGGAGGGAACAGGACACCTTTAATAAGGGATTCTCTCCAGGAGAGCACACTTTCCCAGCCACACCGTGGACTAAAAGGTGCCAAGAGTGCAAGGTTCCTCTCTACTTATTGTTTGTTAATTATCTAAAAAAATAAATCAGGAAAGCAAGATGCATCTTTAAAGCCTTCATCCTACCAAGTGTCTCCTGTGCACATATGCAATAATTATAACAGTGTGCATTTCCATAGCGTTTTAAGTTTGTAAAGTAAATCACATGTTTTCATATGGTCCTCACAAAAATCCTGTGAGCAAGGCATTACTATTATAACAAAGACATTGACTTACCCAGGGTTCCAGGGCTAGCTATTAAGTGGCTGAGGCCGGATTTAGAACTCAGGTCTTTCTGACACCAAGTCTTGCACTCTCTCCACTGCACCACCCAGCTGATCTAACTTCAAATCAGGCAGCAAACAAGGAGGTAGATGTCTGCTGCAGTGTTAACTACAGACATGGAGGCAGCCCTGGGCAGAGGCCCAATGGCAGAGGCATTTCCCACATATAGGGAGGTCCTCCAGCTATTCCTCTTTGAGGCTAGTGTATTGTTGGCACCAAGCCCCAGAATGTCCCAGCTCCTCCTCTAGGAGATCCACAAACACCTAAAAGAAATTGGCCTAACAATCTGCAAAAGGAGAAGCAAGTGGATGAAGAACATTTATTATACAGAGGATTCCAAGTAAGTGGATGACAAGTCCATTGAGCTGGTCCAGCAGTACATATTTGGAGACAGACATTGAAGGTAGATGATGGACAGGCCACGAAATTGGATAGGAAGAAAGGGCGGGGAGAAAGATGCCTGGATTGCGTTTAGGAAGTGGCATAGAACTTCCAGTCATCCATAGCTATGAGTGCACGCACACACACACACACACACACACACACACACACACATCTTTTCAATGCTGATATTCTGCCATTGATGCTAGCTCATTACTACTCATAGACTATAAGACTCTCCTAAAGGTCAACATTGTACATGACCCAGTTGACCATGGAGAAGTGCATGATAGACACGAATAAGCTTCAAAAGATCTGCCATGACACCCATGTACAAGATATGCTATAAAGGGTGTCTTCCAGGAAATTCACTGGAAGTGTCCTGTATGTGTGGTCTTGCCCAACTAGAGTATGAGCTCCTGGAGAGTAGAGACTGACCTGTTGTTGTTGTTGTTAAGTTGTAAAGCCCAGTGTTTGGCTCATAGTAAGCTTATAATAAATGTTTTTCTACTCTGTGATTAAGAATCTCGGAAGATGCTACCCCATTGGTATTTCATCTGGAACGACCTACATTGCTGTATCCCCCGAGCCCAGATAATTTCATAGGATGCTTCATTCACTAAATAAGGGGGATGGCTTTTACATCTATTTGTTCTTAATTGGTATAAATCACCAGGGTGCCGGCTACATGCCCATGAGCCTTTCACAAAGGAAACGGTTTGGACATCGCTAAACTGGGAAACCCATCATCACATTTTCTAAAAACTCAGTCATGCCCACAGCCTGATATTAGAATTAGAATCATTCCATATGCAAGCCCAGGTTGCTCAAAGAGATCTTTCTTTTAAACAACTAAACTAAGTGCGGTATATGATAAATATATACATAAATAAATTTCAAGAAGGATTGATGACCTACCGCTGATTGCAAGGAACTAATTGAATATATAATTATGGGCTCAGAGTGTTACCATTATTGAGTAATTTTTAATATCTAATTGTTCCATAATGAAGATTGATGAAAGAGTAGATTGTGGGAATCATGATTGATTTCCTGTTACCTGGTGATGTCATTCTTGCTAATAGCAAACATCAGATAGACATTCGGAGGTGACAAGGTAGGATTTTAAAAGGCCAGTGGCATTGTGGCATTGCAAAAAATATTGGCAGGGTCACTTCAGGAACATAACTAGAAGGTTCCCTTTGACAGAGACTTGGTTTAAGGTATATGCTGTTATCCCCCTCACCTGGGGCCATATGTTCTAACCTATACTAACACGTTACCATTTGCTCATTTGATTTGTAGGACACTGGATTCCCTATATAAGGAACTGGTAGAAGAAGGATTATTAATAAGACCCTTGAAAGTCCAACTTTCCGAATACATTGGTAAAGTATATTCGAAGCAATCTCAGAATGGGCTAGGGGAATAAGAGTTTCCCATGATACCCAAGGACCCATTTTCTCCAACAGCAAGAAGCCTATTAGATCACTGTGTCCAACCGCTTGGGTCATGTTTGTGAACCATCGTATGTGTACCAGGTGAAGGGGACATCTGGGGAGGAAAAAGAAAGAATCACACATTTCTCTGGACGTGGGCATAGCATCACTGAGTGGCAACACTATATGTGAGTGCTACAACGCAAAACTCCGTAAAGGGAAGTGAGGTGCCCCAGAAGGTTGATTTTGGATTGATGGGTGGGCTTCCCCTCACTAGATGTCTCAAAGCAGAGGCCAGATGACCAAGGGTTCTTGGTCAAGTAGGTGTTGGACAAGGGAGCCACAGACAGCCCTCTCAACCCTAACATCCTATGATTTTATGGGGGAGGGGGGTCAAAACATAGAGCAATTGACAGGAGTTGGGGCTGAGAAACGTCCTTACATTTCCCTTCTTTTTTTAAACTATCATTGGTTCCTCCTTGAATGCTCCTTCCAAAAAAGGGTGCATCACAACTAGCTGGCTGCACAAACCTTCCTTGGCCCCATCTGGTCAAAAAGATAAAACTGAGAGTATACAGGACCCTCACTCTCTCACACCAATAGGAAGGATGCTTTATTATTATCCTTATGGGTTCAAAGGGGGAAAATAGAACTTAGTGTTTGAGCTCAAAGAATTAGACCCAGGTTTAGGGGCAGGGGGAAGGTGGACACATTTCAAAAACTTATCTAAATTGAAAACAATATAACAACCTTTTCTTATGACTCAAAAATGTGTTTTTTAAAGAGTGATTTTTTTAATAAACCATTACACTTGGTTTTAGCCATAATTCAAAACCTAATTAATATTTACTAATTAGCAATGGCTATCATTCAATAATTACCATAGTAGGATGAAAATGTGATTTTCTATAGAATGGGTTTTTGTTTTATTCTTTGTGATATTTATATTTGGTCAAAAAAGCTGAGACTGGCATTTTCCAGAAATGTTGCATTTTGGTAGATTTCCTGCTTAGTTTATTTAATATAGAGAACAAATATCTATAAGAAATATCTACAAGAAAATCCTGAAGAAAATACCAGTTGCTTTGTAGAATGGTATTAAATTATTTAAAAATTATATTAAATCAAATCCGGCCTCAGACACATAACACTTACTAGCTGTGTGACCCTGGGCAAGTCACTTAACCCCATTGCTTAGCCAAAAAAAAAAAAAAAAGAAAAGAAAAAAGAAAAGAAAAAAAATTATATTAAAGAGGCAATATTTTGAAGGTGGGGGGGGAAAGCAAATGAAGGTAAATTTTTCCTCTCAGGCTTTAAAAAAGATTATAAAATAGTTATCGTCTAAACCAAAGGTTCCCAAATTTATTTGGCCTACTGCCCCCTTTTAAAAAAAATTACTCAGCACTCCCCCCTCCCTCCTCCAGAAATCTCCTTTCTTTAACCCTTTAACAGTATTTTTTTAAAATTGCATCATTTCAAGAAATATGAAGTATTTTTAAATTATGCATCTTAAATTTAACAATTTATTCTAAGTGTGTGTTTTTTTTACTGCATTGAAATTATGTTGACTCAATATTGCGTCATGTAACTGCATAGTATTATATTGTAAACAAGTCATTACATGCACATATTCCTGCCAATGCATGTTGGACTTCCTGACAATGCGCAGCACACTCACTTGCCAACACTTGCTTGTTAAGACCTGTCGGTGGACCTGACCACTGATTAGTTATAATTTGCATTTTGTGTGTTTATTTGGAAAATAATGTAATCACTACAACATTAATTCTGTTACACAACAGATGAAACATGTACAGATCGTTTTCCAAAATTTTCTTCTCTTCTTTCTTTATGTTTCCATCACCCCTTTGTTTTTATTCAACATCCCCCAATTGCAACCGAGGCTACCACCAGCCCCCTGCATGTTCCAGCACCACCCCCAGAGGGCAGTAACACCCACTTTGGGAACCTATTAAAACTAACTGGTACTGGACCCCCCAAAAAAAGATGGAGAGGAAAGGGAAAATAAACCAGTGAGACTTATCAAGTAAGCAGAAATAAAAGTGATAAAACTCAGTAGTTGTAGGGTTTTGAAGAGAAACAAGTGCATTCATATATTGATGGTAGAATTGCAAATTAGTAGAATATTTCTGAAGATAAAACTATCAGTACCTAACAAGAATAAAAAACCTTCATATCCTTTGTCTCCATAACTCTATAATAATTATTTAGGGAAAATCAGACTAAGAAGTATGAGAAACTTTCAAGAATTAAATTTTGAAGACTCAAAGAGAAATGATTCTTGTAAGGGAGAAAGGGGAGGGCTGTTGTCTAGAGAGAGTGACATAGATGCACAGGAAATTCATCAACCAATATCAGTTTTTTGAAAGATACCTACAGAAGATGAAAACAAAGGCAGAAAAAAAAGAATGCTGTTGTAGAGCACAATCCTGTAAAAACAATGCCCAGAGTGCATAGCTGGGAATCAGCTGAGTTTGGCTAGGGAAGCCAAGAATAACAAAATGGAGGACAGGGAGGAGGAGGAAGAAGAGGGACAGGACACCTGCTTGGGGCAGATGCGACAGGCATGATGGATGATGCTGAGAGGACAGCTTTCTTTCTCTTATTCCTCCTGTAAGAGAAGATGCTCTTTGGACTTGAAAGGATGAAGCAAAAATCACTACTAGAGAGGTGAAAACCAAGATAAGGAGGGATAGGGAGAACACCTAGCTGCCTTCAATCCCTTTAGGTCATCTGGCCCAGATGAATGACATCTTAGGGCATTGAAAACAATGACCGATGTGATTATTGAGAGATAGCCAATGGTCAATAAGAGGACCTAGAGAAAGAGAGAGGTCTTATAAGGTTGGAGAAGGACATGTCAGGGAAGAGAGGGGAGATTTAATGAAGTCAGCTAGACCAGTGAGCATGGTTTTGAATTTTGACTAAATTCTACAATCTGTTATTTTTATGATTGTTTATTTTTATTTTATTTACAAACATGTCCTATAAAATATTATATAATACAAATATATTATCAATACTAATTTGTAATATATTTGTAAATGGTATATAAGTGTAATATATTATAAATGAATGTGTTATAAAATGTATGATATAAATATATACAAATATAAAATATTATTTTTTGTTAATAGCTTTTGTTTTTACATCACCTTCGTTTCTGAATATATCTCTCCTCCTTCCCTCTCCTCTCTAGCAAACCTAATAGCATGTGCATTGTTCCCCTCTCATTCCCCCAAGGAGTCTCCCATTTTTCCCAAGGGAGGGAAGTGCATTTGCTTTAGCTTCTACCATTAGAGAGCTAGTTAACAAACATCTAGAAAAGGGAGTGATGATGAGGAAGAGCCAGCCTGGCTTCATCCACAGCAAACTAACCTCATTTCCAGTTCTTATGAAGACAGTCGCCAATCCTGGTGTCTCCAAAGGGCGCTAATGGAGTAATTCACCTGGATTTTATCCCAGGACTGGACAATTTCACAGTTTGATCAGAATCACCATTATTCTTGTAGAGAATAAGGAGGGGTGAGCTGAGATAAGTGTACAGTCACATGGACTCTGTAGTCAGACCCAAGATAGTCATTAATAACCCACATACACACATACATTATATATATATATATATTTATATATATATATTTATATATATATATATATATATATGATTGGGGAGACAGAGGACATGAGGTGCCACAGGCTGGAGATCAGGAAGGGCATCATGGAGAAGATGGTGCTTGAGCTCAGTCTTGAAGAAGACTAAAGGATTCCAAGGAGCAGAAATAAGGAGAAAACATTTGAGGCATGGGGAACAGCTACCATAAAGGCACAAGGACAGGGAATGCCCCAGGCCATGGGGAGAGGTGTGAGAAACAATGGAAAGGCCAGTTCAATTGAACCTAGAGCATGTGAAGGGGGGCCAATAAGACATGACCAACACACACTGTGTCTCCATCAGAAGAAACATACCCACACAGAGAGATGACATAACCATCAAAGGGCAGAATAGGATTTTGTGTGCATAACTAACAATATTACAGACATATATATACATATATATAATATATATAATGCATCTCGCAGTATAAAAAATGTGTAAATGCATGTATTTATACACACACACATACATTACTTATACATACATACATATATATATATATAAATGTATATTCTGGCTTACTGTTCTAAGTTAAATATATACATACATATATAAATGTTGTATTTTTGAATATTCTATCATTCCAGCCTGTCTGAATGCCAAAATCTATGATTTCACCCAGTCTCTTCATCATCCCTTTGAGACAATCATCACTTCTAATCAGGTCACTTAAAATCACAGACACTCCTTCAGCCACTCAAAATGTAGACACTGAAGCTCGCCTTTACAATATGATTTTAGGCTCCAACATACTCCCTGTTATCATAACTAAGCCACAGGATCTCCTTTGCCACAGAATAGCAGCCCAAAACTCTCCCATTTCACCCTGCAGCATTTCCAGAAAATTATCTATGCTCAAAATTCATGTCCCTAAAATGCCATATCATAATGCTACAGAGATGCCATTGTGACCATGTCTGATGCCGCATGTGGGGATTGCAGTCCATATGAGCGGGGAGTTGATGGGAAATTGCCAACAGACCTTCTGACCCCATGCGTTGGCCCCTCCTCCGCAGGCGCTGGACACCTTGGTCTGCAGTTATAGCCCCAGGATGCAGAGCCAGGCACTGTTTGCATCTCCGCCTCCAAGGAAATTTCCCACCCTTCTTCTCTGAGCAAGAGATTTAGGAAGTGGCTCTACTTCTGCCCTGTCTCCTTTCTTCGTTTCCTTGTCATTCTTCTACAGAGAAGAGTGAAAGAACAAAAAGATGTTTTTGCCAGCTTTTCTGAAGAGAAGATGTCCTCTCTGGCCTTGGGCTCCTTTTCTGGACTTCTGTCAGTTCTATCATTCGTTGTACTGTTTTTAGTACCATCGCTTGCCTTTTCTTGATGCTCTCTTCCCTTAACTGTCCTTCTCCTTTTCTTCTTCCCTCTCTGGCAAGAATGTCTAGTCTAGAAGCAAGGAGTGCTCTCTGCCCCCTGAAGCCAGATGGTGAAGGGCACAGGGCTCAGGGCTCCAAACACAGTGTGATGAATTAAATACAGGAATACAATTTCAACAAGCTCACCCTGGCTTGGCACACTGCCTGAGACTGTTAGCGTCCCTTCTCTCTAGCCAAACAAACAGGAAAAACAGTACACTCCCCAATTTAACTGGCTACCGTTTAAATAAAATCAGTTAATTTCTGCAAAATATGGTGCATCTGGGCATTAATATGGATATATTGAAGCAAGCAAATTGGGGTCACTTTCATATGACCCTTAATGTCATGTTTACTGGCAATAAATGCTAGTCATAATGGTTGCTCCAGCATCCCTTCCTACTCGGGTGAAGGCAAAATTAAGCTGGCCTCTATTCATTACATCCTCATTAAAGAGCTGGGCTAGCCAGAGCAATAACGAAAGCTTGTCATCATTACCGCACTGTCCCCACCATCACCATCTATCCCACTCTCAAGGACGTCTCTGACACACAGACATAGTAGAAGGGTGGCTGGTACAACAATACAGAAATCACCAGCTGATTTATTTAAACAGCAAAACAAACCCTTCATTTCCCTTCAGATTTCTAAACCTTCAAAGTTTTCTTACGCTCATAGTATTGTATATAAAAAAAAAAAATCTTACAAGTCTCTAACACCCAAGGTTCACCCAAGTCCACACTTGCTATTAAGAGAACGGGCAGTTAAAAAGAAATCAGAATATGGAGAACTCATTCACTATCTTTTTTATTATAGGTTCATGTCCCACTCAGAAAGGAATCATGTGAACATGCAAAGGTTTTGAAACATCCATCCTAGTGACAAATGAAGACAGCCAAACTAATTTTCTTGGTGACCTTATCTAAATTAGTCAGAAAATATCAGTTAGGATTTATGACTAGTTACAATTAAGCCCTTTGATATCTTCTAATTAAACTGGTAAAGATTTATTCCCATATTATGCCTTTGATATTCCTTTAAAAATTATAACATGAAAAGGACTGTTGCCCTCAGCATGGAACATTTCTATTTCTTCTACATTCTGGTCAGACTCTACCCCTTTTCATCTCCCCCAAGTTCCCATCTCCATTAAATTGCTCACTTATTTTGTAAAAGTCTACAAATATTAACCGTCAGCTAGAGAAAATGCTGTTTATGCTGAACCAGGAAGGCTAATGTTTCACCATCTGGGTCATTTTTTTCTTGTTCATGGTTAATTCCTTAGAACTTTGCCCCTTTTCCAATGCCCCAACCCTGAGAGGTGGCAGCTTGGAATTTAAGAGTGTGAGTAGCAAATCTGCTCTAAGTGTGTGATAGCTGATATGACCGGCCTGGCCAGCTTGCACCAAAGCAGCTCCTTTTTGGAATGGTCACATTTCTTTCTTTTTTATAAGATTTTTCAAGGAAAAGCGTCCATCTTTTAAGAGTCCCTGGCACACGACAGTACTAGGTCTTCTCTGAGTGTGCTGTCTTCTATGGGAGTAGATCTGTTAGCAGAATGCGTTTTGGAACAAAATCTTTTCCCATTTATTAGCCCTCTCTTCTCCCCACAGGTGAATTTTGTTACCTGGGAACTACCCTCCGCCATATAGCGATAGAACCAATGCCATCGCTCTCTGACGTGAGACAGCTCATCACCTTATACGGGATTCTCCCGCTAGGTAATAAAGAAAGGAAACTGCCTTGTGGACCAAGTTCAGTGATTTTCCTCCTGTATGTAAATATGTACGTCTACACATGCAGGCGTGTGCACGTGTGCATACGATTCCTCCCTTTGACAATGCTTGACTGGTTACTGTCAAAAGGCCTTTGCAGATTTCTGTTTTCCAATTAAGTGTTGGGAGAGAAGGCAGGGTTTCATTTGAACGGTGCATAAAAGGCCCACAAAAGCCATTGACTAGTATTCCATTTCGAGGCCATCCCTGTTTGCATGGTAACCATTTAGAGCTATGAGACATAAAGGAAATCACTGGGGGAAGATAACAACCCAAACAAGCATCAGGGCTGGAAACGAATGAAATCGGGGAAGGGGAGACAGTGGCAACTTGCCGGCTGTGGTTATTGGGGGCTAAAGAATGTGAGCGCTAAGGAATTAGTCAAAGTCCCTTTGAGAGTGCTGCAGCGATGTCCTTGAACTACTTTGCAAGCTTCAAATGCCCTCCTCTACACTGATTAAATGTCATTTTCTAGGCAGACTACTCTAAGATTTTCTACTCAGGGACTGAGGACAGGTTACAAATTGGCCTTGGAAGGAACCAGCATTTTCCATGGCAGGATCTTTAAATAACCTTTATGTAATGACGGCTTTAAATGGGGGTGGTGGGACCTCTGTCTCATGTGGCAAAGATGGCACTGGGGCCCAGGTGCCAGCCTTGACCAGCCCTGTCCTCTAGCAACATGAATTTGGATGGCAGGTGTGTCCTTGATGAGAGGCAGTGTGGGGCAGTGGAAAGAGCATTCATTCTGGAGTAAGAAGCCCTGGATTCAAATCCTACCCCTCTCACTGTGTAGTCACTTTGGGTAAATTACTTTGTCACTCGGGGCCTCCATTCAATATTCATCTTTTAAATGAGGGTGTTGGCTCTAAAGGGCTTCTAAAGTCCTTTATCTCCATCTCCATATCTATAAGCCTGTGGCCTTTCAGAGAAAATTCCTTTAATTTCCCTTCCAAGTAAGATGGCAGCCATGGGGGTGGCATGGTATTTCTCTCTTGATTTGAACCTGGGAACACTTTCCACAAAATGTCATCGACTTGACAAGGAATGGAGAATCTAGCTTTTCACTTGGTGTCCTCTGAAGCAAATGGAACTTTGGGTTAAAATAATTATAAGTAAAAATAGTAATAATGTATCACAGCCCCCATTACAATACACTAAATGACAGGAAGTATAGGAACACTCTGGGCTAAATCCAGTGTCTGTTAACCAGGAGAGGAAGGCAGTTTTCACGTTCTCAGCTCATGAGGGCAAGTTGGTTCCCTTATTTTAACTAGTTCTCATTTTATATGTTTCTAATGCAGAAATAGTTTATGCAATTAAAATGTATATGTAAGCAAACTTTGGGGTATCCAGATTAAGTTTCCTTGGCTGAAGATTTAATTCTATTATAAAAATGAGTAGGTTTATTGGTCACAGTTTAAAAGCACAAATTGCACACATCCATGCATCTGATTACCATTGTCAGGAATGACAAAATAACCCTTGCTTGAAGTAACAAAGGGCATTGGATGCCAGGGAGCTGATAGACCCTCAGCAATATACTCCTCATCAGAGCTGCCCATGGAAGTGGTCCCAGGGGCCACAGAAATGGGCTCTCCAGGTCCCTAGTCTCTTTCAATAGATAAAAAATCTTCCCAGTCCATCTCTGGAGCTGACCTATCCTCCTGGAATCCCAGGAACAAACTCTCATCAGGAAAAAAGAAGGTTGGTTATAAAACCATTCATGTATAACTAGTGGGGCTATTCGACGGTCTGTGGCTTTAAGAAATCTGCAGGATTTCTAAGCAAGCTGAAGTAAAAGGGGCCAAGAGCTTTTATGGATGGAAGTTGATCAAGCACCAGGACAAAATTACCCAAGCAGTGCATTAAAAACAATGCTTCCATCCTGCAGTGGGATGGGACCTGTGATCCCATCAAACAGTAATCCCTCCAGTGAGGAAGATTGCAACTCATCCATCCAGCCCTTCTCATCCTGTGCCACTTTTGCCCATGCCCTTCCATAAATCCCCCATTTTTAGGTGGGGTAGGAAGGAAGGGAGAAGTCAACCCAAGAAGTTGGCACCTTTCTAGGTCTCTTGACATTACATGGGCACCAGTCAACAAAAGGGGCTGCCCATCTCTTTTTCCTCACTCTCACTATATGAATAGCCTATCTTCTACTAACTACATTTCTTTGGTAATGTCTTTGATGTCATATTGGGGTGTGAGTACACACATTGTGTGTGTGTGTGTTGTGTGTGTAAGTGAGAGAGAAAAAGAGAGAGAGAGAGAGAGAGAGGGAGGGGGAGAGAGAGAGAGAGAGACAGAGAGAGAGAGAGAGAGACAGAGAGACAGAGAGAGACAGAGACAGAGAGAGATAGAGAGACAGAGAGAGAGAGAGAGAGAAGACAGGAGAGGAAAGGAGAGAGATTCATCACTGGTTACTTGCTGCATTCTCCATTGCCCTTGGAATGGTCCACAATTTAAATACCACTAAGATCGTGGTAATCCATGAAATGTAGGGGGGAAAAGTTTATAAAAATAAATGTGGGTTATTTTGATAATACCCAGTTAATAACTGAGGTCCACCAGCTTTGTATTTGTGTTATATATTATTATGAATAAGGAAGAGTGATTATTTGTACAAAGAACTCCCAGGTGAGGAAACTCCCTTCACCCACACAGATCAGTCCCTGTCTTGTAGCTTGAACCTTAGAGAATGTTACCTAGAGCACCTAAAGACCAAATGACTTCTGGGGCAGCTAGGTGGTACAGTGGATACAGCATAGGCCCTAAAGTCAGGAGGACCTGAGTTCAAATCTGGCCTCAGACCAAACACTTGACACTTACTAGATGTGTGACCCTGGGCAAGTCACTTAACCCCAATTGCCCCTCCCAAAAAAAAGACCAACTGACTTATCCAGGGTTACACACCCATTATATGTTTGAGGTGTAACTCAGGAGTACCTGGCTTCAAAGCTATTTCTCTATACACTCTGCCATGAATTTAAAAAAAAATTATGTTCAAACCCTGTGCGGTGCTCAGAGAATACAAAGAAGGTCCAGCCCTCAGTGAGCTTTCAGTCAGTGAATTAGGCCAGGCATACAAATAACTATCGTGCAAATTAGAACATGAGAGGACCAGAAGGGGCCAAGGGCCATAAGAGAGAGGAGCCATATTGAAGAGAGTTTCTGAAACTGACCTCTGAATCCCTTCAGATCAGAGGTTTCATAATAGCAAGACAATAGAAAAGTAGGTAAAACTACCATTGATGATTTTTAAAGCTGCCACCTTGGGCAAGTCATTCAACACAGACTTCAGTTTCCTTCTCCTAAAAATTTGGCTTAATCAGCCCCTAGAATTCCTTTTAGGTTTAGACCTATGATTCGTTGAGTCTATTACTCTAATGATTCAAGGTATACACCTAATAAAGACAGAGAAGTGACCAAGAACCATCAGTGATTCTGAATCAGGACCAGAAATTACATGGAACTATAAGAAACCATGGGATTGCTTTTGTGCCCACATTCAGGGATGTCCACCTTGCCCCTCCATACATAAATATCCCACCAAGACACTTGGAACAAGATTAGACCTTTCCCATGCCAGCATAGCACTCAAAGGTATGCAAAGCACTGTCCTTTTTGAAAAGCATTTAATATTTTATTTTTTCCCAATTAAGTGTAAAACAATTTTTAACATTTTTTTAAAATTTTGAGTTCCAAATTCTCTCTATCCTTCCATTCCCCACCCCTCCCATTGAGATATCAAGCAATTTGATATAGGTTCTACATGGAGCACTATCCATGAAACAGAAAGGTTCCCTTCATCTTACAGATGAGGAAACTGAGACTCACAAAGGTGAAACCTAGGTAATACTCAAGGCAGGATTCAAACGCAGGTCTCATGACTTAAGCCTAGTCCTCTGGCTATTAGGTGATGCTGCCTCCAGATCTCACGTTAGTATTTGTATCGTATGGATACTCACCAGCCCAGGCATCATAATTCATCTTTAGTAATATACTTTTATTTCCCTTCATGTCATATTTATTTGGGTTGAAAGTTGGGAAATAGAGACTTGATGCTTGCATTTTGTTCAAAATAGCAAGGCTGACTCTGGAGTCAGAAAATGTAGATTCAAATTCTGCCTCTGATACTTACCACCTGTATGACCCTGAGCAAGTCATTTAACCTGTCTTGGCTCAATCTCCGTAGCTCTAATACCTTTCCAGCTTGGGATCCATCATCCTGTGATCACGGAGATGTCTACTAGCCTTAGATTTCTATGTCTGCAGTCACCTGAAAAGAGCTCATGAACCCCACAGTCTGCAGGGGAACCTCTAATTTGAAACAAGCAGTGGGCAGTGAATGTGTGAGAGGAATGGGGCCTTGAGATGCCCTGAGATAATAGGTGAGGAGCAGATCCAATTGATTAACTGCTGATTTCTGCAGCGAAAGCCGAAACGCATGCGCTTGTGACCTCCCGCAGGTTCTCAAACGGTACATGAGAAGGCGCCACTGGTGAAGACCCTGCTGCTGGTGGGGCCCTCTGGCGTGGGGAAGAAGATGCTGGTCCATGCCATCTGCACTGAGACTGGAGCCAACCTCTTTAACCTGTCTTCGACCAACATCGCTGGGAAGTACCCTGGCAAGACTGGCCTCCAAATGATGATCCACATGGTCATGAAGGTAAGTACCCGGGGGAGTCAGAACACCACCGCTTTCCTCATCAAGGTCCCAAGCAAAGGGTTCTACTTTCTTTCTAATAGATTCCCTCTGACACGGGAGTACACATTACCCTTAAACATCTGTGTTCTATTCTTCTGAGGACCATACAGCTAATGGAATGGCCTGGGATTTATTGAAGAATTTACTCTGTGCCAAGCACTGTGCTAACTGCCAGGGATTTGAATGGAAAACTGAAGTGTTCTCTGTTCTCCAGGAGCCCGTGTTCTAATGAGAGGATACAACATAAAACAGAGGGTTCAGGGACAAGGTCATGGAAAACAAGGGGCCCAGGTAGAATCCAGGCAGCGAAAGGACCTTGGGGAGTAATGGCAGGTCAGGTGGGTCCCCCAAGAGGATAGTGAGCTCAGGGGTTAGAGTGGAACGAGGCTCTGGGATACTTCCAACACAAGTGGGGGCCGTTGCCTGAAACATGTCGATAGGATGTTTTCCGAGAGATGCCGTGGCTCAGTGGCTGGAGAAGCCTGCCTTCGAGCCAGAGAGATGGAGTCCAGGTCTTGTCTCTGACCTGCGCTAGCTGCATGTCCACCAGCCGATCAAAGAGTCTCTTACACCCAGACTGTATATAGCTTGAGATTCTAAGAGTTCAGATTTAAATGGCACCTTAAGGTTTGCAAAGGGCTTTACGTAGAGTATTATCTCATTTAGTCCTCATGATGATTCAGTGAGGTAGGTGCTATTATCATCCCCACTTTACAGATGAGGAAACTGAGGCTGAGAGAGGTTAAGTCATTGGCCCAGAGTCACACAGCCAGTAAATGTCTGAGGCAGAAGTCAAATTCCAGCCTTCCAGTGTCAAATCTGGTGCCTTATACACCCGGCTAATGGCCTCTGTAGAGGAGTTTGACATCAGACATCTAAGGCGGGGATTATATTTCTTGTTTCTTCCACCTAAAGATTTCCTGTATTCCGTGTTTCTAGGTGAGCTTGAAATACCTTTTTGCTCTTATCTCTTCTAAAGAAAAATCTGTTTTGACTCACTTCTCTCCCAGAATGCATTTAGAATCAGAGAATGAGAAAAAAATGGTACAGGTCATCGGGTCCCAATTTTAGAAATGAGGAAACTAAGGCCCCATAGAGATGATGTGACTTAGCATCATAGAAGGGACCTTAGAGGGCATTTAGTCCAACCCCCTAATTTTACAAAGGAAGAAACTGAGGCCCAGAGAGCTCAGTTCACTTGGCCAAGGTCACACGAAGCTTTCACTGTCCCATGCTGCCTTTTTTGCCAATCTTTTCTTTCATGTCTGTTGATACTCTGAGGAAGCCTGGTAAAAAAAGAGCAGGCATGTTCCAAGGCTTACAAAGCACTTTACATGTATTACATGGTCCTAAAAGCAACAGCAACAGGAATGATTTGCCAGCATCCTCAGGTTCAACGAGCCCTTTACATTAGTTATCTTATCTGATCCTCACAAAACCCTTGGAGGCAGGTCCTAGTATTATTCCCATTTTACAGATGAGGAAACTGAAGATTCAAAAGAGGATCGACTCACCAAGGATCACACAGATGGTCAGTATCTGAGAAGGGATTAGAACTCAAGGCTTCCTAATTCTTAAATCCAGAAAAGGAAGTAGCAAAGTGGATACAGAGCAGACTTGAAATTAGGAAGAACTGAGTTCAAATTCTGCCTCAGCCACATAGCTCTGTGACCCTGGGCAAGCTGTTTGACCTCTCTTGGCTTCATGGGGATACCATTAGGACACGCCTCAAATCAAATAAGATAACATATGGAAAGTGCTTTACAAACACTAAAGTAAGTGCTAGCTTTTTTGTTATGATTTGACCTTAGATAGGTCAAAGCTCAGCAGAAGAGCACGGTATTGTCCAAATGGGTGGAGTTCTAGGACCCGGCATTCTATTGAAGGCAGCAAGTTCTCCACATGCAAGGAGATAAAAACCATGAATAAATACAAGGTAAGAGGGAGGTTGGAGCACTGGCCACTGGGCATCAGGAAAACCCCACGTGGGAGACTTAGAGCTGACTGAGGAAGCACAGAGAGGCAGAGATGGGGAGAGGAGCATTCTGGGCCTTAGATTCCTAATCTGAAAAGTGAAGCTTTTATTTAGCACCTACTGTGTGCCAGGCCCTCTTCTCATCTCTGGGTTTACAAAGACAAAAACAGGATAAACTTTGCCCTCAAGAAGCATCTGTTCTACTGGGGGAGGAGGAAAGAGGGGATAGAGTTATGTCCCCAGATCAGTAAATATAGGACATACACACCAATAAATGAAGGTGATTTGGTCCTGCCAACTGAGTCGATCGGGAATGGCCAGTGAGGCTAGGTTACCTGACCTCCAAGGTCCCCCTCAGATATAAAGCTAAGAGCCTATGAAGCTACAGCAAGAGAATAAATACACACACACACACACACACACACACACACCACACACCACACACCACACACCACACACACACACACACCACACACACACCACACACACACACACCACACACACACACACCACACACACACACCACACACACACCACACACACACACACACCACACACACACCACACACACACACACACCACACACACCACACACACACACACACCACACACACACCACACACACACACACCACACACACACACCACACACACACACACACCACGCACACACCACGCACACACATACACACACACACACACCACACACACACCACACACACACACACACACACACACCACACACCACACACACACACACCACACACCACACACACACTGATCCCATCCAGGGGGAAAACCCCTATCTAATCCCAGAACCAGAAGGACCAGAGACCCAGGGCTGGCCTCGGACGAGGAAGGAGCCTGGCCCCTAACTGATAGGCAGAGAGATGCCTTTCTAGAGCCCCTCCCCCACCTTGGATCAGGCAGCAGAGAGCTCTGCCTGCAAGGTGACCTGCATCTTCTGTGCCCATCTTCAGCACCTCATTCCCTAAAAGGACAGTTAGGAGTCATCAGAGCCTCGACCTCCTAGCAGTGCTGGAGCCCTTTGCCAGCCAGGAGACGGGTTTAGGGGGTAGGGCTCGCTGGGCTGAGCTCTGCCTCCCATGGATTGTTGCCCAGTAAAAGGCTAAAAGCCAAACACACTGGGTTTAATTGTTGACCCAGTAAAGCCTTGAGCTTCAGAAATCCTCTCTGACCTAGTTAAGACCCCTCCATCCCCAGGCCTCCCTGGAGGGCGGCTGGTGGGCACAAGGCGCCTGCCTACTGATCTGCCCGTCTTTGAAAGTCAGCCTCCTAGCAGGTCACTCTGCTCCGCCCTCCCCCCAGAGCAGGACACCCAGCGTCCTCACCAGCAAAGTGCCTGATTCGCAGAACGAAAGAGCCCTCTGCCGGCCGCTGGAGCAAACTGCCCGGAACCACTTCCCACACCATTTCAATTAAGAATTAATTATGTCGAGTGCATTTAATTATCCGTGGCCTCAAACTACCCAGAGATAATTGACACGGAGGGCTTTTGAGCGACAAGCCGTCTGCTGGTGCTCCGAGGACAATAGGAGTGAGCCCCAGTGGAGGGTGGGCATCCCATGTCCTTTGGTGGGAGGGCGTGGAGGGGAGGCCTAGGGTTGGCGGGGCAGCCGGTGTGGGCAGGCCACTCTCTAGGTCTGCTTGAGAGAAACAGAAAAGTCCACCAAGCCTCGGAGACATAGCGGGAGGAGGGGCTGGATCTTGAATTGGGAGATCCGAGTTCAAATTCTGCAAGTGACGAGGATCAGAGAAGGAATCTGAAGTCTCGTTCCCTGGCTCCAGGGCAAGCGTTCTTTCCTGTGTGCTGCGATGCCTTCCCTAATCTGGACCTCCGTTTTCTCATCTGGTTGGACTATATTTCCACTCCCAGCTCCAAATCTGATCGTATGAAAAGAAAAAGACCTCCTATCAAATCCCAGAATCCAAAGGCTCGTAAGACCACCCGTGCAGGCTTGGAAGGGACCCTACAGGCCACTGAGCACAAACTCCTAACTTTACTGGTGAGGAAACTGAGGCCCAGAGATATGAAGTCACTTTACCAGCGTCACACAGCTAGTCCGAGGCAGAATTTGAACCCGAGGCTTTCTGACTCCAAGTCCGGTGCTCCATCCTCTGAGCCAGGTTACCTCTCAGATTCTCCAGAAATCAAAGATATGTAAGCGAAAGGCCTTATTCGGGTACCTCGAGCTCAACATGTAGAGGAAAGATGGACCCTAGTGTCTGGCTTAATTCTTGCAGCCGCCCTGTGTATGACTCATAAACCTGTTATTGATGTGCAGAAACTGAGGGCAGGACAGGGCAGGGCAGGGTGCAGACCACAGCTCCCCAAGGGGCACATCTTTCTGTCAAAGAGTAGTTCTTTAACAGCAACTGTTGGTGGAGAATGTAGTTGTACCAAGCTAGGTACATGCACTACAGCTGTAATTAAGACGTGGTCCCTGCCCACCCTGGATCAACTTCCTTCCTTCCCTCCTTCCTTCCTTCCTTCCTTCCTTCCTTCCTTCCTTCCTTCCTTCCTTCCTTTCTTCCTTCTTTCCTTCCTTCTTTCCTTCTTTCTTTCCTTCCTTCTTCTTTCCTTTCCTTCCTTCCTCCCTCTCTCCTTTCCTTCCTTCCTTTCTTCCTTCTTTTCCTTCCTTCCTTCTTCTTTCCCTTCCTTCTTCCCTCTCTCCTTTCCTCCTTTTCTTCATTCTCCTTCCTTCCTTCTCTTTCTTTCCTTCCTTCATTTCTCTTTCTTTCTTCTCTCCTTCCTTCCTCCTTCCTTCTTTCCTTCTTCCTTCTCTTTCTTTCTCTCTCTCTTTCTTTCTTTGTTTTTTGTTTGTTTCATTCTTTCTATGGCAGGGAGGGAGAGTGCTTAGAATCTTACAGCCCACTAGGAAAGACACCCATATAGACAGACAGATATAATGTGAATCAGAAGGAGTGACTGCATGAGGCTGTGGAGGGAGAGGCTGCCTCAGTGT